TCGTGGTTTTTGTATTAGACCCGTCGTCCATTTATTTGTAAGTCAATATTTAACCCCTAATATTTTGCTTTTCTAGCACGTTCCTTCATCTTCTTGATTTCCAATTTTCTTTTTTGTTTTGATTCCTTATTCAGTTTCAGCGGGAAGCAAGTAGTAATATAGTTGTGAAAATCAATAATATTTACTAAGCAATTATATGAAAAAACGTATAAAATTCTTGTTTTTCAAAGAAAATATGGCTTCGATGACAATTGTTTCCGACTTCAGTGGAAGCTTTTCTGAATTCGGCGGCATAAAATCCACCGAAACCAAGGCCACGGGAGTCAGAAAATATTTTTTTTTTTATATTACTCGTGACAATACTTGTAAAACCAATAAATAGTTATTATGTTCTAGTTATTACAACACATATTATAAAAATATTACATACAACCATAAAATTTAGTTTTTGAAATATCGTATACACCGAGTTCAAAAATCAACCTGGACCAAATCCACCGAAATAGATATATACACGCAAAAATCCTAAAATCGGAAACAAATCATTCACCTGCTCTCTCCAGCCGCAGAGGCGTGATGGATGAATAATAGGAACGAATTGCGAAGCTTCTAAAAATATGCTTCACTTGTGGCGTGTAGCGTGATAGTAACGACCACCGAATTCCCGCATAAGCCTGGGACACACACCAATCTTGGTATTGTGATAAAACTATTGTCTAGTTTATGTGAAATTCAGATTTTAAGTACTATCATCTTATTTATTATACGTGAACTAAAGTCTAATATAGATATACGGTTTCGATTTTGAGAAAAATGACATTTTGTGTTGGCATTCTGCATTCGGGACACGCCACCGTTGTCAGATTTTAGGCATTTCGGATTTTTTTCCATTAGGTCCGGAAGGTTTATTGGGAAGATTTTGTGCTCTCCAGTTAGCTTTTGACCTATATTATGCACTCTATTTTTTGTAGATTTTTGTTTTGATAAATAAGTGGAGTTTAGTTCATGGACACAGAAAATTGCGGCTTTGGAGAATTGCCCTAAGCTAATGGTGTAATAATAACGTCAGATGATTGCAACTAATTCGTTAATCCACTTTTCACAGTAATTAGTTCGAATACAAAAGATTAATCAGATTAAAAAGGTTTTTATGATTAATCAGATTAAAAATTTTTAGCGGCAAGTTTTCAGACAGTGGCCGTTGCTTGTTCACTATCCAAGTAACGCACACGAAAAGTCCCTTGACTATTCATTTTACTCCTCAATTTCATATGGCAACCGTGCCAATGACCATCATGTCATGGGACCACGTCAGATGACTGATTAAACTGAACGACACCCGTGCCACCCCCTCTGCAATCTTACCAGTACCTTTGAGCTGTCAAACTAATGTGACGTTGTAAACAAATAAACTATGATCGAGACTAGTTAATGTGATTCGTAGATAGCCTAGTTAATGTGATTCGTAGATAGCCTAGTAAATCGTTTTTGTAATGATTAGAAAACAACACGAAATTATAGTAAAGGAAATCTACAAAAGAAGGATGGCGACATCCCGTGTTTTTGATTACGTGTATTAAAGAGACCTATCGATACTTGTGATTCATTATCAAAGCATCAAAAAAGCTCACTACTCAATTGAGTACAGCCTGTGGAAGCTAGGGGCTATAAATTTGATATAGGCTTATGTTTATAACATTGTCTTGTACTTCGTTTCAGATGTTTGTTCGTAGTAGCAGAAAACAACAAGTTTTTAATAAAATTTTGTTCCTAAAAATAATAAAGAACTTGCTGAATATTCCTAAATCTGCCAAACTCTGCCACATTTAATACAACGTTAACATGTTCTGTCGCAATGAAAATAAATGAAAATTAAATCTGCCCAAATGGCAGAAATCTGCCACAAATGGTCACACTGTTCTAAATCTTAAAGTGACATTGACATTGGCAAGAGGTCTCTTGTCAAAACGTTCCTTTGCTAAATTTCGTATCTCTCATTTAAATATTGTCTAAACATTTTTGTCACATTGTGTTTTATTTTTTACTTTATGTCATTATTGTTTAATTGACTATTTGATTAGGTATTTTATAGCTTTAATGTTTTATGTGTGTATTATGCGTGTACTATAAAATAACCAATACTTTAGGTAGGTAAACATTCAATCATGCTTATAATGAAAAGTTCGTACAAGAATGACACACGCAAATGATTCAGTTCAACCTTAGATTAGGTAACGACCTAATCTAAGGTTGAACTGAATCATTTGCGTTGTGTTCTTGCATCTATTCTTAAAATATATTGTTTTGCAATATCTTTATTCCCGACTTCTAAAAATATACAAAAATATATTAATAACTAAGCATAAACTACAACGTAAAATTATACTAGCAAAGTCCATGAACGGCATTTCGTTGATTTTGGGTCAGCTTTCGCCATCCTTCTTCAGCGAATGTTTGAAGAGCATGACTTGGTCGGACGTCTATAATCAATCTACTCTCAATATTGCTTATTCATGACCTATTTATTCTCGTCTTTGGACTTTGTTTCCTATATGCAAAATTAAGTACAATTTAAATTCTAAGAGTCTTAAATGGATATGTCACTACGGTTATTAAGAAGTTATGTCACAGCAAGCGACTGTTGAGATTTAGTCACTACATATAACGCAACGTACTCAAGTTTCAAAAGACGTGTATTTAAAATATAGTAAAATTTTAAGGAAATGCATTAATAAATCGCATAAAATAGCTAATCGTTTATTTCTGAAAAATTTCCAAAAATGTGCATAGCTTCATGAAATATTATTAAGAAAGACTCCTCGAATAATGTGAGTGACATAGAAAAAATAAAAATAAAAATTATTTATAATGATCTTAGACGATCTTGATAACATTGCTGAAGCATTTAGTGAATGTTTTGGTGGCACAAATACCACAAAACTCGCAAATTCAGTAAAGGTAATAGAATCAACCATCAATGAACAATTTTTCTTCACACGTTTATTCGGTTGGCCGTCGTTATGTGCTCAGAACTAAAAGGTCGACAAAGTTGGCTTGGGGGTCTGGTATATATTGTGTTTGCTATGTGGAGTGCAACGTGTATATTCGTACAAAATAAAACCGAAGGCGGCGGTAAGCTGCACCCATGTACATTATGTGTACCTAACGCATTAAAAGTTCAACTTACAATATGTTCGTCATCGTGGGAGCGAAACTTGTACCTTGCATTTTGGTACTCTTATTTATAATTATATATATAATTATTTTAGAAGATAACGCAATAGTAAATAAAACTTTTAATGTATATTGCGAAAGTATGAATCAGTCTCGTAATGAGCGGAAAATTATTATTAACAGCATTAAGAAGAGCACTTTTTCAACAACATATAGTAATACGTTTATTTCGTTTCAGGAGCTACTACATTACCAGACGACCTATCATATTCACTGCGTTTTCCAGACAGACCTCGCTTAAATTCATTTTTCGGCCAAGGCAGTCAGACTTGGTGTACAGATTTGTTGTTTCCGTTTTTCACATTTCCTGGTCCACGGTTTCCGTACGCTCACGAAGGAGGGGACGAGCCAGGATATACGAATGAAATGTTTATAGCTGTTATGCATGTGATGTCTATGGAATTAATTGAGCGACGTACTGGCCAAAATTTATCTCCGTTTATTGTGTACATGAACAGATACCCGCACCCCCCGTACGTAAAGGATTATGAGTTGAAATCTTTGCAACTGGTATTTCCAATGTTTATAATGCTGAGTTTCAGTTATACTGCTGTGAACATTGTCAGGGCTATTACCGTTGAAAAAGAATTGCAATTGAAGGTAAAAACGGTTTCTCAATGTATTATTTAGTTCAAAATAATACGTATAATTTTAGTTTTTATTTTCTTATCTTTCAGGAAGCAATGAAAATTATGGGTCTACCTACATGGTTACATTGGGCGGCATGGTTTTGCAAGCAGTTCATTTATCTCTTCTTTGTCGTAGTATTTATTGTTATTATCATAAAGGTTAGTTTTCACTATCGAGTCGTAAAAACAAAGTTTTGTTACTGTAGTAATACAATATACTGCAATAGTAAAAAATGTGTTTTGGTTTGTTTTGCGCCGGTGAACGAACACGTACATGGGATTTGTCAACTTATGCCTCAGAGTGACGTACGCAGTGGCAGTGTTCCTCAGGTATTGATTTAAAGCTCGGAGTGGCACTGCAACTGCTATAGACAGGCGTGTCGCTTACCACCAGACGCATGCCTTGTTCGTCCCATTACTACTTACTATCCCGTTACTATCACATAAAAAAAGAAAAAATATATCTCGATTATATATATCTCGATAATTAATAGAAGAATCAAATACGCCTTGTGGCGCACGAAGGCGCGCGAATTGGCGAGAATTCTGCTGCTTGACTGCGCCTTGAGGCTAGTAGGTGTTGAATTGTTTTGTCCAGATCTTTTACATGAAAAGAATAGTGGATTTGGATATTTGTTTTATTCAGTTCAGTTGAAGTAAAATAAGAAGCGAAAAAGAAAATGAACGAAACATTAAAAATGGCTTATTAGGTAGTAACTTAATGTATTTTTTTTCTTGCTTTTAGGTGCCATGGTTTTGGACAATGCAGGGCTACCGCGAGTTCGCAGTTTTCACGATTACCCCGTGGGATATATTGTTTATGTTCCTGATACTGTATGCTATAAGCACAATATTCTTTTGTTTCCTGATGAGTGGCCTATTTTCAAGAGGTAATGTCAATTTTCTGGAGCATTAAGATCGGATAACCCCGGAATTTTGCTCCACTGAACCAACTTTTATAAAAATTTTACACGATTCTTTTATGACGATGCTGCCATATCGTTTGATTATACTCAACCCTTAGATTTGAACCTTTTTACCACATGGAATTTCAGCCGCAAGATCGAGTCCATTTGCATCAATCATTTGTCGGGTCTATGTCGTCAATCCATTATAAAGGTTAAGTACGTTTTTGTGGAGCGTGGGTTTTCCTAATTTTTCTCCTTGTATTATTTTTTTACAGATCATATTTTTTTACAGATACCAAGCAGTTTCGGCAAACCGCACATAACAACACCATATCGTCCGCGTAGCAGCTAATGTTGATGAATGAATGAATGAATGAATGGGCTGCTGAGCTTATTAGCTTATCAGCGCATTAATGTAGAGATTCAAGAAGTTTTTTTTTATAAAATATAAGTGCACTTTTGACCTCCATCTCACCAGATGAAAAGTGACGATGAGGTCGACGATGGAGCATGCACACTTAAATAATAGCTACTCACTGTCGCCTTGAAAAGGCCCAAGTTGTTCAGGGATCAAGTTTGCAGGCAGGGAATTCCATTTCATGACCGTTCGCCATATAAATGTGGAAGCGTAACGCTTCGTGCGAGTCTTAGGAATATCCACAACATAGAGGTGGAACCCAAGCCTACGTCTAGGCTCCCGGTGATGGAAAGGGAATTAAATCGTGTAATTCCATCGCACACACTCCGTGATATGTCCTGTAAAATACCGATAAGCAGGCAACTTTATCACGGTTTTCAAGGGTTTGCAGCTTCGCCTCCACTAATTCCGACTCAGCTATAAGCCTCTTGATGCGATTGTCAATTGAATCCAAAGTGGCCAGTTGATATGTAGCAGAGCCATCCCAAAGGTGGCAGCAGTACTCCATATACGACCAGACTTGTGCTTGGCACAGCAGAAGCAACTATCCCGGTGTAAGGTATCGCCTCACTCTGGAAAGGATGCCACGCTTCCTTGTTGCATTTTTGGCCATGGATTCAATGTATCTGCCGAATTTCAAATTAGACGACAGGTCCATTCCAAGCAGCTGGAGACAGGCTATCGGTATAGATATATCACAAAAAGTCTGAGTCAGCTCAAAGGGACTCCTTTTTGTGGAAAATAGACACGCCGGCGTTTTGGTAGCGTTAAATTTGACAAGATTGGCATCGCCCCAACCGGAGACTGAGTGTCAAATCCAAACGGCTAACCATGGACTTTCGACAAGACCGGATTTCCTCTCCACCGACTCTTGCATTGGTCAAGTACCTATCTACAACTGTGCTGTCATCAGCATACGCAAAGGTACCTGGAATTAACATATTATTGATATGTAGCAGAAAGAGGTCTGCAACTCTCTTGCAGTACGGAACCCTGGGCTTCTATCGCCATATGTTCGGAAGAGTAGCCTCCTAAGACCACTCGAATCGAACGTTCCCTCAAGAAATCCGAGATCCAATTGCAAAGGTAAGTGGGAAGCCCATAAGAGGGAAGCTTACTTTAAAGGCTTGCGTGCCAGACCCTGTCAAAGGCTTTAGACATGTCCAAAGACACTGCAAGTGCTTCGCCTTACTTTTCTGTAGCCTCGCTCCATATGTGCCAGGCATACACAAGAAGATGAGCAGTAGATCGCCTTCGTCGGGATCCGTACTGGCGATCACTGAGGAGGTTGTTGTCTTCAAGGTACGACAGGAGACGATTGATGAGTACACGTTCCATAGTCTTGCAGAGTATCGAAGTGACTGATGTAGGTCTATAATTGACAGTGTCAGCTCTGCTTCTCTTTTTCGGCACGGGTTGCAGGTTTGCAAGCTTCCACGACCTGGGAACTACACCAGTCCTAAGTGAGAGGCGGTACAGGCGTGTGAGAACAAGAGACAACTGAGAAAAGGAATTCCATCTGGTCCTCTAGCGTTATTCACGTCTAGATTTCGCAGAGTTAGATTTAGAGAGAGAGAGAGAAGTGTCTGTTATTGGCGTAAGCGAACTGGCACCATAGTGCAGCCAGCCTGAGGTGGTAGCCCAGGGAGCACACTTTATACACCTCAAAACTATTATATCTATAAACAGTCGTAATATTTTAGTTAATTAGTTGTCTATAAATGGTATTAGAAAAAAGCAATTGTTCATATAGACTTATTTCACTCAAGTCAACATTTTAAAACCTTAATACCAAACAACGTAATTTTAAGTGTGATCTCTCTTAAGATTTACTCTTATAGTACTTATTTTAAGTTCATTTGTAGATCAACTGATTATTTTTAGTAAAATTGTTCTATACATATCCAGTAAAGTCCATTCATACTCTAAAAACTAGTGTTCTTAAGTTTATTCTAGATATATTTCATTTATAGACATTCTGTAGTGTTTATACTTATTAACGAACACGTTAAATGTTAAATGCTACAAATAATATGTGAAAGTCAATGACAAGACCCGCAATTTGATATTAATTAGCTCCCCATTTTCACATAGAATATAGTGCCATCTATGAAATATTAAGGGAGATAACTCAGGACGAAGAAGGATTTTGTTTGTTAGCTGCGTAAGTAAAGCTGGCAATCGACGCATTGAAATATTGTAAAATTATGTCGCTAGATGGCGTTTAGTTTAATTTTCTTAATGTATTCCAATCCAAAGTGAAAAAAAGTACGTTATGTAGCACCTTTATTTCTTTCAAATTATAATTGCTATAATTATTTTTTAATTTAACCTTATAATTTGAGCTATATGTGTATTATATTAACCATCTCTAATTATGTCACATCATTCGATGCATTAGTCGGTAATTCGCGCGCGAGCGATTTTTGTTTGTTGACAAATAAATAAACATTGTGAAGTAATTCCGTGTTCTGAAGTGATAAAAACATTTGAAATGAGCGCGTAAACTGTTGTTCTTCCATTTTGTGTATGTGTATTGTGCCGTCTGACTTTAAAAAAAAGAGAGTACACATCATTCGTGCTGCAGGAAGCTGATTCTGAGGAAATAGAAAGATTCATTAATTTCCTAAAGGACACCTCTGCTGGATGTGACGGTGTTTCAGCTAAAGTACTAAAAGCTGTTCAAAGTCTTATAATTCCAACAATTACTTATCTTTTAAATCGTTCCCGAATACCCTAAAAAGTCGACAGTTTTACCGATTTAGGGCCACTGGGAACCCAAAAGATTATAAAAGGAAAAGATTTTAGGTCGTAAAGTGGTATCAAAAAAGGTAGTTAATGATTGACAACAGTATTTTGTCGATAATTTGAAATTTATTGCCAGACATGTCCAAGAAACCTGATCCTCCCATATCTCCAAAACTAAAAGCTGAATATTAAAAAAATATATAGTTAGTGGATCTTTAACTAAATAATTCAATAACGAAGGTCTTAAATTTATGTAAACAATTATATATTTTTTTTAAGAACTGGTTTTTATACAGAAACTTGCCAGGAAAATTCTATAAAGAAAATAATGAAACACATACATGAATTCTAAATTCTCAAATTATCTATAAAAGGTTGAATGGAGCCTGGTTCCGAGGTTTTGTTTTCCCGATTTCGTCAGTCATCATCATCAGCTTACACGCATCCACTGCTGGGCGAAAGCCTCCCCTTGAACACACCAACTCTCCCGGTCATGTGTTACCCGCATCCAGCCTTTTTTTTTATTAAAGCTGTTAAAATTGTAAATACCTACCGATCAGGTCAAGGTAAATGTATTATATAGCATGTAGTAATAGAGTCGTAGTTTGTTATCAGAATATTTAAAAATCGTAATATTATATTTAAAATAAATTACTTGAAATATTAATTTATATTCCAAAATCATTCAGCATTCAGCAACAAGACTTCTGCATTCATTTTGTGAACTATTCTGCCGTCCTTGTCATAACTAACGCATTTGCATTTTGGTAATTTTCGAACTAATTAACTTTTTTAAGCTGTTATAGCTTAAATAGTTTGACCTACCGCCTCGCCTCTAAAACAAAGGGTCGTGGGTTTAAATCTGGGCTTGCACCTCTGAGTTTTAGGGAAATTACATGCGAAATTTAATCTGAAATTTACCATGTGCTTTTCGGTGAATGCAAACATCTTATGGAAACCTGCAGACGTCTGCAAAGCAATTTAATAATGTGTGCGAAGTTCAGACCAAATCCTCTCATTGGGAAAGGCGGTCTGTGCGCTGCAGTAGGAATGGGACTATAATAATAGGCTAATTGTTGTTATTATTATTATTATTATTATTATCATCATCGTCATCGTCATCGTCATCGTCATCGTCATCGTCATCGTCATC